GGGTCTTTTCTGGCTCATGGCCAACTCCTAGTCGATATCCAGGGGCCGGCGGAAGTGGACCCCTTGGGCACATTTCGTGTCCCTGTGGAGGGTGGTTATGCCTGCGTAAGTAAGACAGCGCGAAGCAAGGGGGAGGTGATTCGCCAGCCGCTGTTTTGCAACCAGAACCTGGTGGGACCAGAGGGGAGGCCGTGGACATTTACGACGACCGATACGAGATGGAGGCTTGGCTGGAAAAAGGAGTCTGGCAGGTCAAGCATATCTGGCACGAGGACCAGAGCCGGTGGAAAACGTACCCGGAACTCAATAGTACTGCTCCCCGGCTGTCACAATCTTCAGGCCAACTACACTCCGATGTTGCTGTCTATCCCGTCGGAATGGACGGACATGTTGCAGTGGCCCTTCAAATGGGAGACTGGCCCACTATCTGTGGAGAGAACCCCCCGACAACGGCCCTGGCGTACGTGGCTCGAGCATCACCGGATAGAGAATGGTTACTCTTTAATATGCACGACATCTGCACACCGGGAGTGACGGCTAGCGCGCTTCACAGAATTGGCTCTGCTCAGGTGGTGGTGAGGCGGGATAGCCTCCGCAAGGTCAGGGTTATAGAGGACGCAGAGATGCTGATCTATAACTGCTTAGCCGAGCTGAGGGACCTTGAGGTGGACCTGGCAGAATGGGCCTGGAAGCTGTACCAGCGGTCAGACGGGCCCGCTCGGTATGCCAACCTGATGCTGTACACCACCAAGCTGAGTTATACCTTGAAGAATGGCCCCTTCCCCGTGGCTGATATAATCGCCGCTAGGTGGAAGAAGCATGTCCGCGTTGATCTCAGCGCACGGCAGGCCGCACCATGGAAGGCAATCTTGGCTATACGGAACACCCGCGTACGCATCATGCAATGGCTGATAGCCCACGTTGCCCACCCCGCCAGGCAATGGCTCAGCAAGCGCAGGGCTGAACAAAACAGGACGACCCTGGGCGACCTGTGTCGTGTGCAGCACTAGCCAGGTGGAGGACATGACTCACTGCCTACTTACCTGCCCGGAGGCGGAGCCGATGTGGGACAGGGCAGCAGGTTGGTGGCAGGCCCTTACGGATACCCCCTTCCCGGCCAGGGAGCCCCATATCCTCCTCCCTACACAGGGGGACATGGGGTGCGAGATGTACACCAGCGTACGTTGTTCCAAACAGCGCGCCCATTGACCCTGTGGACCATCTGGAAAAGGCGATGTACGATGACTTTGCAAGGAAAACGGCAGCCCGTGCAGCAGGCGTGGGACCACTTCTTGGCCCTGGTGGAGGTTGAGTACTGGGAGGACTGGAGAAGAGCCAAACAACAGATGGCAAGGTGGCCGGAAAGAGCAACGCAGATCCGGCAGCAATTCGCCGCTCAAATGCTCAGGAACGACAGAATACGCACCCTACGAGGGAACACGCTCTGCCTGAAATGGTCAGACCGGCATGGAGAACACCAGCAAGGAGGCGACAGTTACGATTCCTTTCTGTGAACCGGATGGAAGCAATAATGTTAGGGCCTAGCAGGCCACTACCCTCGTTGAAGAAATAAGGCCGAGTCAATCTGAAGAAAAGTGCAAAAAAAAATTGAAAAAATTGAAAAAAAGAAATATAATTTGAAGGAGCTTGGTCCGCACACCTGCAGGTTTGTCACACTGAAAAATGAAAAACACACTCTAAGCTTTTCTGAGGGTAACTTTGCCCTACTGCGGCCTACACTGCATACCTGGTCCTGGTCCTGGTCCTGGTCCTGGTGCAAAAGGCTGAACCAGGTAACAGTCTGGCCCAGTCTGATGGATCAGGTCCGGAAAGGTCCAATTTGAAACCAGTCCTGGGGCCAGTCCTGGACCGACCCAGCTCACTCCGGACAGGTCCAATTTGAAACCAGTCCTGGGGCCAGTCCTGGACCGACCCAGCTCACTCAAACGCAGACCACACTTAGGTGATACTCAGAGCGGAACTTCTGGGGTGGGATCGGCTGCAATTCCAGCTAGATACGTACTGAAAGTGTGAATACGCCGTCAGAATCCATCCATATCCATATTCAGCATCGGCTCTTCATCAGATGCATACAGTCATAATGCCGGTGGGAAAAAACAAAAAAGTGAATTGGAAAAAAAAAAAAAAAAGAAACAAGTGCGGTAGTAGCACACTTTCAAACTGTAAAGGCAAAAAAAACACTAATGGGCAACGGAAAAATGGCCGCAGTTCGAAAAGGCAGTCATAACATCAGAAGGCGGTAACATCAGGCCCCGAGTTT